ACCATGTACAATATTCTCCTGGTTCTGCTCACTTCACTTTGCATCAGTTTATGCAAGCCTTTCCAGGTTTTTGATCAGTAGTAGTTTTGAGTAAGTTGAGTAAATGATCATTTCTTGTTTACTAAGAGCCAGGCCCTGTGGGGATAAGAAAGGCTAAAAGCAGTTCCTTTTCTCAAGGAGCTTGGAGTCTAATAGGGGAGGTACTTTGCAGAAAAGAACTATAGACAAACAAGATATAAACAGGATAAATTGGAGATAATCAACAGAGGGAAGGCATTAGCACTAACCTAAAGGAGAATGAGAAAGGCTTCTTGCATAAGGTATGATTGTAGCTGAGACTTGAAGGAAACCAGGAGACATAAATGAGGTTTCTATTTTATTCCCTTCTTTTGAGATAATGGGAATAAAATGAACAAAAGATCTCATAAAAACCAACATGGAAAGAATAGACAATCAAGAGAAGTAGGAATAGGAAGGAGAAGGAAATTATTGCAGACAGCACTGCTATTATGAAGCAAAACAACATGTAAGAAAATACATAAGCAAAATTTCCTCTCTTTAGCCTCATTGCTACATGTGAATGGCCTATGTTTACTAAATGATTTTATGGGGCTGGTACTTTAAATAAATTTGACTTTTTTTTAGATGCTCATATGTAATCTAGTATGAGGCAGCTAGATAACATAGAAGAAAGAATGTTGGGCCTGATGTCAGTTAGACTCATCTTTGTGAGTTCAAATCTGGCCTCAAACACTTACTAGCTGTGTGATCCTAGGCAAGTCACTTAACCCTGTTTGCCTCAGTTTCCTCATCTATAAAATGAGCTGGAGAAGGAAATGGCAAACCACTCCAGTATCTTTGCCAAGGAAACTCTAAATAGGAGTCACAAAAAGTCTGAACAACAGCATACATAATACAAGGTGAAATCCTTGAGGGCAATGAGCATATCTCATTCAGTTTTTATGTCCTCAGAGCACTTAGCATGGTGACTTACATATGGTAGGAACTCAATGCCTTTAGTTCAATAAATGAATAAATGAAACAAAGGGTTTGACAACCAGCCAATGAAGTTATCTTGAAACAATAATACATTTGCAACATTCTTTATGACCTCCAGAACATTTTAGATATACAATAATTTTGTGAGGTAGGCAAAATACTTTTCCTTTTTTTGTGAATAAAGAAACAGATGAGGGGCAGCTAGGTGGTGCAGTGGATAGAGCACTGGCCCTGAAGTCAGGAGGGCCTGAGTTCAAATCTGGCCTCAGACCAAACACTTGACACTTACTAGTTGTGTGATCCTGAGCAAGTCACTTAACCCCAATTGCCTAAAAAGCAAACAAACAAATAAATAAATAAAGAAATAAAAAAAAAGAAACAGATGAGAGATTAAGTGACACAACTAAGAAATGACATGAGTTAAACTAGAACTGAGGTCTTACTCTTAGTCCAAAGATCTCTCTACTATAATACAAGCAGCCTATCAGGATAAATCTGTAGTAGATTTCCTAAATTTCCTTGATTACTTATCTTTTCAACCCAAATTTATTAGAAAATAGTAGCCTTTCATTTCACTTTATGTTGTATAGACCTGGTCTATGGAAGTTCTCCTCAGTTTTTTTTTGCACAACCATAAACTTTATAACATGGGAATTCCTGAAGAGTTTGTGTTTTATTTTAATTAATTTAATTTTTAATTTAATTTAATTAATTAATTTTTAAAATTTAATTAATTTTTTTAAATTAATGTTTAATTTTTTTTTAATCTAAGTATGGGAACTGCCTCAACCAATGCAGATTTAAATTTGTTGGTGACTTAGAAGATAAATCCAAAGGAGTTGCCTGAGACCCACAGGTTAATTAATTTGTCAAGGGTTACACAGCTAGTAAATGTTAGAGGAAAGATTTGAACTCAGATATTCCTGGCTACAGGTCCAGCATTCTATCCATTACTCCAAGCTGCTTCTTGAATTTATTAAGATAAATGCAATTGCAAAAAAAAAAAGTCCCCAACATTGCTTGTCGAGCCATTATTTAGCAAAAGAGCTTTAAATTCCTGACAATTCCTATCACCAAGCTAATAGGATTGATTGATTTTATGTTTGTACCCAACACTTAAGAGGGATGAACAAGAAATTACATGATTTCTGTCCTGGAGGAGCTAAAAGCCTAGCTGAGAATTTTGAAATATCATATTCAAAGTGATAATATAACCAAGTAACCAAAGAGCACATAAATGCAATCTTATTTCTGCACTGTTAAAAATGAGTAGAATAGTGTGCAATCGTGCTGAAGAGTTGGGGGCTTAAAAGTCAACATTGCCAGGTGCCTTTGACTGCGATCCAGGATTTCCTAAAACCTCTTAATAATCAGAGCTATCCCAAAGGGGAGGGGGCTGTCTTAGGAGGAGATAGGTTTCCCTTTCTTGGAGGTCTTTCAGCTGATTTAGATATCTACTTGCCATAAATGTTATAATAAGGATTCCTTTTTGTGAATGGGTCAAACTAGATCTTCACTGATCTCCTTTTAACTCATTAATTCTGGGATTCTGTGATTTAGAGAATAATAATAATAACAATAATAGCATTTATGCTATGTGCTGGGAACTATGTTAAGTGTTTTACAAATATTATTCATTAGATCTTCACAAAGACCCTGGAAGGTAGTTGCTATTATTATCCTTATTTTATTGTTGGGGAAACTTAGGGTAAGCAATTTGCTGAAGATGCACAGCTAGTAAGTATCTAAGGTTAATTGGAACTCAAGTGTTTAGGCCTAATACTCTATCTACTGCATGACCTAAAGAGATCATCTGGTATAACCATTTTTTACAGAGGAAAAAACTAAGGTCCAGAATGAGGAAATAACTTGCCCAGGACCACATAGGTTGTAAGCAGCAGAGCTCATACGGGAATCCAATCTTATTCCTGTTTTCAAATCCACCATGGTAACCAAGACACCACCCTTTGTTTAGTTGGTATTCAGTCCTGTCTGACTCTCCATTTTTCACAGAAAGTCATGACCCCATTTGGGGATTTCTTGGCAAAGATACTGAAACGGTTTGTCATTTTCTTCTCCAGTTCATTTTATAGATGAGGAAATTGAGGCAAACAGGGTTACACAGCTAGTAAGTGTCTTAGTCCAGATTTGAACTCAGGAAGATGAGTCTTCCTGACTCCAGGCCCAGCACTCTATCCGCTGCACCATCTAACTGCCCCAAGATACCACACTGTATCTCTACACCTTTTAAGGTAGGGCCATTTTCTCTAAGGAGCCTTTCCCTATTGGTTCTACAGTAAGCTTCCTTATGAATAAGGGTTGTTGCTTCTCTGGTTTTGTATCCTGAATGCTTAGCAGTGTCTGGAACACAGCTGATACCTAATGATTATTTGTTGTTTGATAGTGCTCCTCCCCACCCTGAAATTGCTTTATATTTATTTTATGTATACTCTATATTTCTTTGTCCTGTGTGCTCCATGTGGTATATTCACCCACAGAAAAGGTTAAGTTCCTTGAAGGTAGGGATTGTTTTGTTTTTGTCTTTGTAACTCCAGAGCCTAAGACAGGACCTGGCATGCAGTAGGTGCTTAATAAATGCCTTTTCAATTTGATTACATTGAATGTAAGCAATATCTTGGCTGGCCTCTCACTTATAGGACTAGGCCCATCCTACCATTTCTTCTGAACTCCAGAGGGTGTCAAAAGAGAAAAGAACAAATCAACCACCAAATATTTGGATACCTACTATGCACTACTAGGCACTGTGCCAGTCATTGGAGATATAAAGTTAAAAACAAAACAGTTCTTTCCCTCATTTATAGTTTCTACTATGGGAAACAAGCACTCATATAAGCAAATACATAAGTAAATTTAAAATATATTCAAATACCAACCAGGTTTCATAGGTTTGAGAGCTGCCTTCTGTGATACAAAAGACATCCTAACCATGCCTGCCCCCTCATCCATTGTCTCTTGAAAGTTTGACACAAGGATCTACCCAACTTGCTGGAGGTCTTCCTCAGTTTCTCCAGTGAGAAAGATATCAGTGGAACAGTGTGATCTATATCTGTCATACCTTGATATCAATACCACATGACCAGCCCATATTTTCTTTCTGTCATACAATTCCTTAATAACAATCTTTACTCCTGTTCTTCAGAATTCTTTGCTGGTTATATGTGGCAGCCTACTCACCCCTACCATGTACCTTTCCATTAGCCTCTGAGTTTTCATCTTTAGTTCTTTGGAGGCAGTGATGTTTTGGGTCCCACTGTCATACCACAACACTGGTAAAATATTTGCATTGAAAAGATGGGCCTTTACTGTTATGGAAAGTCTAAGGTCAGTAAAAGTACTTTGCAAATTTCCATATACATACAAAGTAAATACAAGGAAAGGCCTCCCGTAGGCTGTGGGGTTTGAGTTGAGATTTGAAGGAAGTTAGGGATTCTAAGAAACAGAGATAAGAAGGGAATAGATTCCAGGCATGGCGAACAGCTTGTTCAAAAGGAAGATGGAATGTCAGGAGTGAGGACGAGCCAGTAGGCCAGTCTGCTTGGAATGTAGTGAATGAGGGGTAGTGTGTAATTAGCCTGGAAAAGTAGACTAGAGCTAGATTGTGAAAAACTTTAAATGCCTGAAGAATTTCAATTTGATCTTAGAAGCAGTAAGGAGTCACTGGAGTTTTATGAGCAGGTAAGTGACACAGCCAGGTCAGTACTTGAGGAACAACATTCTGGAAGTTGAGTGGGGGATGGACTGGGGAAGGGAGAAACTTGAGGCAGGGAGACCAGTTAGAAGGCTATTTCCATAGTCCAGGCAAGAAGTGATGGGGGCCTGAACCAGGGGAGGTAGCTATGTGAGTAAACAGAAGGGGACAAACGTGAGCCAGCTAGGTGGCCCAGTAGATAAGAGTACAGGGCCTGGGGTCAGGCAGACTCACCTTCCTGAGGTCAACTCTGGTCTCAGACACTTCCTAGCCCAGTGACTCTGAGCAAGTCACTTAACCCTCTTTGTCTGTTTCCTCATCTGTAAAATGAGCTGCAGAAGGAAAAGGCAAATCATTCCAGTACCTGCCAAGAAAACCCCAAATGAGATCACAAAGAGTTGGACAAGACTGAACAACAGAATGTGAGAGATGTCCTTACAAAATTAGAATAAACAAGAAATAGTAACTGACTGGATGTCAGACCTGAAGGAGAGTGAAGAGCTAAAGGGGCGTGGTGTAATGGAAACACTGATTGGTTTTGTTCTCAGAGGATCTACCTTCAAATCCTGGTTGTGTCATTTACTACATATGTGACTTTGAGAAAATTTTTAAGTCTCTCTGGCAATCGGCTTCTTCATCCGTAAAAGTGAGAAGTTTGTACTAGTTGGCCTTTCTGGGCCCTTTTAGGCTTTAAACGTATAATCTATGAAAAAAATTTTTAAAAGGCATAAAAAAATTTGAGTGGAAATATTGTGATGCCTTTGACAGAAAGAAGTTAGAAAGAAGGGTGGATTTGGGGAAGAGGACAAATAATAATGACTTCTGCTTTGAAATCAATATCTAAGACGTCTGAGTTCCCATTCCGATAATGTGTCCAATCTCCCTAAAAAAGTTGCTATAAAGATTGTAGACTCAAATCAGACCAAATGAGATAATGAATATTGAATGCTTTGGGAAAATGTAAAATATTTTTTAAAAATGCTATATAAATAAAAGGTGTTATAGCACAGCAGTAGGATATAGGAAAAACAAAGATCTGGTGAGAGAGTCCTATGTGAAAAAAGACCAAATAAGAAAATGTTTCTGGGAGGTACTTGGTAGTGTCCAATGAAAGTCTCCCCAATTAGCTTCAGCTCTTCAGTTTACCCTTTAGCTATGCTTTTTAAGTTCTTCCGGAATATCAGCAATCCTTGATTCCTGATTAATTAAACAGATATCAGCAACCCAAACTAGATTATATTGAAAGAGCTATTTCTCACGAGAGGGAGAGGTTGGGGGAGGGGGGGTGAGTAAAGACAGAAAAACTAGAGCTGCCGTGGCCTCCAACACTCCAAGAATGCTCTTGCAGGAAAGGTGATGCTTGTTTTTAAAAAAAGGTGCTTGCAACTCCCTGGCCCGTCTGCTTGTATATTTTCCTCTACAAAGTGGTTCCAATTACCTTGGCACTCCTGGTATCTGGATTCATCTCCAGTGAATGCCTCTGCAGCGCCACGCCAGACATATGGGATCAATCAAAGGCTTCGGTGCCGCTGTGTTTTCTTTGGGAATGTTGACAGCCTGACAGACATGGGGTTCTGGTGACACGGAATCTCAGAAACTTCGGCATGAACCGGGAAGGAGGGGAGGAGAGAGAAAGAGAAAGGGAAAGAGGGACATAAAGATATTTATCTTGACTGCCCCCTTTCCTTCAAACATTTTATAGGTTTCAGGGAAGGAAAGAGGAGGAGGGGAGGGGGAAGAAAAGACAGAGGGAGAGAGATTGAGAAAGCATTTCATTCTCAGCAGAGCCAGAACCCCCAGAGCTGAAAAAGGGGCGAGCCTGGAGATTTTCCTCCCAATGTGTCGGATTAAAGGGATCTGAGACAGCGGCTGATACCTGAAGCACGCGGGAGGAAGGCTGCTTCTGACACCATCTGACTGAACAAGGGAAAAGGAGGACCGACGGTGCCAGAGACAGGGCAATCAGAGTTCTCTGACTCTTGCTGCTGCTGCTGGGCTCAGGGTAGCAGCAGGTCTCCCTCCTCCACTCTACAATGTGGCGTCTGCTGCCTCTTTATTGCTGGGGTCTCTCTCTAGTTTCTGGCTGGACGGCGTTTCAGCAGATGCCAACGTCTGGAAATTTCAGCTTTAGCTTCTTCCCTCCTCCTCCTCCTTCTTCTTCTTCTTCTTCTTCTTCTTCCTCCTCCTCCTCCTCCTCCTTCCCGCAGGCGGCCTCGCAGCGGCGGGGGCAGGAGCTGGAGCCCCGGAGGTCTCTGGCGCTGGCGCTACCGCCGCCCCCGCCGCCGCCTCCGCTTCACCCCGACCCTCAAGAGAACAAAGTGGAGAAGCTGGGTCAGTCTTTCAAGCGCAACGTGAGGAAGCTCCGCGAGCGGAGCCACAGCCTCGACCTGGTGTTCCTAGTGGACGAGTCCTCGAGCGTGGGCCACGCCAACTTCCTCAACGAGCTCAAGTTCGTGAAGAAGCTGCTGTCAGACTTCCCCGTGGTGCCCAGCGCCACCCGCGTGGCCATCGTGACCTTCTCGTCCAAGAACAACGTGGTGCCGCGCGTGGACTACATCTCCTCCAGCCGTGCGCACCAGCACAAGTGCTCGCTGCTCAACCGCGAGATTCCCAAGATCACCTACCGAGGCGGGGGCACTTACACCAAGGGCGCTTTCCAGCAAGCCGCGGTAAGAGCGCGCTCTCTCCAGCAGCCCCCGATCGAGGGCGCCCACCGCTCCCCCCCTGCCCCAGGCGCTCCCAGCCACCCCTCGGCAGAAGCACACACACGCACACGCAGAGGAGAGAGGATGCCCCACACGCTCTCATTTCCTCTTGTCCTTCCCCTACACAATTCTCAGGTGTATAGACCGATGGTCATCCTATCTGGTCAGTGGTTCAGAAGCAGCTTTGTGAGGCAGTAAGCTGTACTGGAGCAGTTACTACACAGGAAAGCGGATGCAGAGATATAGTAGGCACTGCAAAGGGGCACTTGATATATTTCCATGACTAGATTAGGTGACGAGGTGAGATATATTAAGTCCTAACCCGGTTGGTAATATACCTGTAAAGCCAAGGTTCATTTTTGTGTATGTCAGGGACCCTGTTGGCAGTCTGGTGAAGCCTATGCTCTTTTTCTCAGAATAATGTTTTTAAATGCATAAAGTAAAATAAATCAGATTACAAAAGAAGCCAATTATATTTAAATAGTCTTAAGTATATTTTAAAAACAAGTTCGCGCCCCAGGGTAATAAGCCCAGCTGTAAAAGATCATAGGATCATACAACTAAAGCTGGAAGGGACCTTAGGGGACATCTAGTTCAACTCCTCATTTCCCTGCTGAAGAAACTGAGGCCGAAGGCCTCTAAATGACTTACTCCAGATCAGAAAGGTAGTATCAGAGATAGGATTCAAACTCCAGAGCCAGTACTTTGTTAAAAGGCAAAAGGCAAAGATCGTGAGGTATTTATCGCTATAAAATGGGCACCTTGCTTATCTGTAAAGGGGATATATCTACTTACTGGTAACTGGTTTGGGGGATGAACAGTGAATATCTGAGTTTTCTTTACTGAAGTGCTTCATATTTGGCTGTCATGATGTATTGCGGTATGGCTTAAAGCTGTTAATCTCAGTTCTCTGAAGTTTATTGTATTGTTTAATATTTGCAGTGGAAAATGCACATCTTTATCCAGGTTTCATTGAGCTATTTAAAGCAGTTTTGATATATAAAAGGATAGGTCAGTTTTGTTAGTTGTTTAACTTCATTTCAGCTATAGCTACAATCTCTACCATCTGTGTTAGCACTTTAAAGATAATTTAGGATGATTGGTTTAGAGCTGGAAGGAACCTCAGAGTTCATCTATTTCAACCTCCTCATTTTATGGATGATAAAATTGAGTGAGAAATTAAGAGAAAACTTAAGTGATCTTCCTAAGGTCCATAGCTAAGTGGTGAGGTGGGACTTAAATTTATATACACTAGGCTCAGCAGTCTTTCTCCTATATCACTCCCCCCACCCCAAAGAATCAAAAATTTAGCAATTACACTAGTAGAGGTATCATGGTATCTCATGGCGTCATTTTTACTTTCTCTGACAACAGAAAGACAAGTTACAGCATAAAGTTAAAAAAATAATGGTCAATTTTGTGGTGTGGTTTTTCTTATGAAACTTACTAACTTTATTAGGAAAAAAAATGCCCATTTGAAAGTTGTCCAACCTGTGGGGGGCAGGAAGTCATTCTTAATGACTGGCCTCTGGAATCCTTTGATTCATGTGAAATTGATCATCAGAATGAAAATTTAAGATTATGAAACTGAGTGAATATCCCTAGGAAAAATTAATTTTCTAAAACCTATTCAAACTTACACTGACAAATGGAACACATGATAAAAAAAATAAATTTTGTGCTTTACATAAAATTTTGCAACATCTTTCACCAACTAAGTTGAATTCCTTTATCATGATAAGCAAATAAATATACAATGTGTTGTGTAGGAATAATAATGTTACTTAATTATCACTTGATAGAGGCAGTAGTACCACAGTGGAGAGTGAATAGAGAGCTGGTCTTGGAGCCAGGAAGACCTTGGTTCAAATCTCATCTCTCAGACTTACTGAGTGACTCTCAGCAAGACATTCTGTGCTCTAGGCAATATTCTGAGACTGTAAATTGCAGAGAAAGTCGTTTGAAAGTTCCCTATATCAATGAAATTATAGGTCTGGTCTCTTTCCTAGGACTTGTAGAGAGTAGGGGTTGGGGGAATGTCATCAGATCTTATTATTGAAAAGGATCATAGAAGAATGTAGAATCTAAAGGTGGGAGGTACATTTGACATTATATAGTCTATACTCTGTATTGTTTTTTCAGACACAACTAGGTGGTGCAGTGGGTAGAGTACTGGGCCTGAAATCACAAAGACCTAAGTTCAAATTCAGGCTTAGATCCTTGCTAGCTGTATGACCTTGGGCAATGCACTTAAATTTGGTTTGTCTCAGTTTCCTCAACTGTAAAAACTGTAAAAAAAAATTAACTGATAATAATAATACTAACCTCCCACAGTTGTTGTAAGGATGAAAGGACATAATATCACTTAGCACAGTGTAGTATATTATTATTATTATGTAGCACATAGTAGGCGCTATAGAAATAATAGAAATAGTAGCTACATTATTTTATAATTCAAGCCCTTCATTTTACAGGTGAGAGAACTAAGACCAACAGACATTTATGGTCACATAAGTAGTAAGTAGGACTTACTTACTCAGAACTAGAACCCGGGTCCTCTGATGACAAATACGGTGTTTCTTTCACTATACTTCACTGCCTTCTAGTCCAACTATACCTAAAACATGTATCACTGCTACAAGGTCCCTGGCAAATGATCATTCAACTTCTCTTTGGAAATTTACAAAGGTGTTTGAACAACTGCACATTATGATCATAGTGTATTTGAATGGATATCATTAGAGTTGAGAAATTCTGAGTCCCTCTCCGCATAAGAGACCAAGAAAGGATCAAATGGTTTAGGAGTGTGGGTGTGGCTCTTTATAGATAAAAGGCCTAGAGTTGGAGATAATCAGAGGAGAGGAGGAATCTTCTGGTTGGGAATTGGGTGGGGTGTTGGGACCTAATTATATATACCATTGTTCACTTGCGGTTTTCAGTTTATCACAAAGCCCTCCAGCCTAATAGCTCCTTTTCTTTCTAGAGAAACATTGTATCACAGAATCTCTTTGTTTTTAATTTCTCTTCTGAGCAGCAACTTTATGCATTTCCTTTTCCTAAACTGCCCCTTTTGAACCGATCCCATTGTGAAACCAGGACAACTCCATCTCCCAAGCACTGCATGTCAAAATAAAGATACAAGCCCCTCATTTCCATTTCCGTTTTGCTGAATGGTTGTTAAACAAACATAGCATGAAAATTCCTTTGAAAAATTCCTAAACTGTTCCAGGATTCCAGAAATATGATCCATTGATGGAGAATGTGCTGTCTCATCTAAAAGTCCCCTAGGGTTCTACTTCTGCAGATGAGCTGATGGGGATCTCTGGTGAGAGTCACCACTGCCTACAATTGTAAGTGTACTGATTCTTGAGCAAAGGAGGGTGCTCTAAGTCTGAGAGAAGAGCAAAGCTGACTAACCCATTTCCAAGGTAAAATAAAGTGTCCAATGAGAGGCAGCATGGAATAGCAGAAAGGATAGCCTTAAGGTCAGAAAAACCTGGGTTCAAAAGCCTACCTCTTATACACACTAGCTATGTGAGCAAATCACTTAACTTCTCAATGCCATAGACAACTCCCTAAGAATAGAAGTTGAAGAGAAATTGATGGTTTTCATCAATGGAGGGAGATTCCACACTGGGATTTCCCTACATTAATGAAAAGATCCATTTGAACCAAAAGAAGGGGAGAAGGGATAAAAAGAAGAGCAATGTAATATATGGCTACCTTTGCCCAATGGGGTAAATCTGATCTAAGAAGTACAAATAACTTTCAAGAGCTAGGATGGAGTCTAGATCTAAGTTTTTGGCATGATGGCAGTTTCCTGGGCCTGCCTCAGGGTTAAACTATATCCCTGAACCTAGAGTATCAGTACAACACATTCCAAACTGCTAAAATTATCTAGAGAAACAAATTTCCCCAAATTTTTGAACTCAGGACTTAGCCTGAGGTAAAAGAGGAATAACCCACAATGGCTAAGAGATTTGTAGCCCTTATTCTAACTCTGGCTTTTTAGTCCCCTGTCACTTTTGGCCACAACTACTGATAAATCTATGCAAACAATTGCCCCATACATCAGCAGACTTTTTTTTTTCCTTTTTCTTTCTTGCCCCATCTGTCACATCTCCCCTTCCTGCAGAAACCAGTAACTACTAAATAATTTAAAATTTTCACATATCATTAGAAAAATTAGAGGTCAGATTTTTGAAATCAGGGGGAAAAAAGGAATACAAAAATGCTTACTACCGAACAGAATGAAAAATTCTAT